ACCAGCGCCAGCTGCCATGGGAGCGACCCGTGCGTCCTCGTCGCCACTGGAATGACCGACGGGCGCAGGCACGCACGTCATCCCATCGTCACTGGAATGATCGACGGCAGCAGGCGGCGCGGCGACAGCAGGCGACGCTGCGCGGCCGGCGAGGGGTGTGCAGCATGGCTGGTCACAAGCTGCCTGGTACGAACTGTGTAGCGGACAAATGGACTCCGCAACGTGCTCCGTATCAACCTGATCAAGACGAACGATCAGAATACCTAAACGAGCACAACGACACATTTCTACCTCACCTTCCTGACTCAAGCGAGCGCGACCATGGGCAGAATCCTTCACGAGACCAAGGGGGGCCCGCGCAGGAAGAGACAGCGTGAGAGGAACACGATCCGAATCTTTCAATTGATGCGACTCGAAACACCCGCTCACGGCGCCGCGAGAAATGACGATGCGAAACGGAAAACTCGGTTTACCTGTCGTATCACCGCCTGCCTGTCCTCCCATACCGCTGTGCGTCTTACGCTGTCTGTGAACCCATTTAGGATAGAAGCCCATGTTATCTCATTTACCCTCTGCGTTAAGAGCCCAAGCTTTACCGTGGCAACAGGAATCGCAACCCTCGTCTAGCGCGGCCCAAACGCCGTCGCCCTTGAAGACATCAGCCGTGCCAAACTTAGAAAAAGCCGAAACTGCGGTCGAAGCGTTTTGTGCTAGAGCCATAAAACCGACAAGGCTGCGATCTGTGACCTCTGCTACACAGTCGCGGAGCAAAGAAGTTAGCTCACCTGTGCTCGTGTCACCCGTGCCAGCACAAATAGCTGCAGCACGTTTAGTGCAAGCCTTTAGTCCAACCTTTAGCTCTGTAGAGGTGATGCGGCGATCATCCTCAATGAACTTCTCAAGCGCTTCTGCTTGGATGCTGCTGGAGCGTTCAACTGTCTTAGATGCTGCCTTCTATGTCCTCTGCTTGTCTGCTCATCGATATATGTCAGGCAACGACAACAATGCGCACGAACGATACCTGGAGCACTGCCGCGATTGTCCGCGAGATCGCACGGACACTCAACCGGGAAGTGCAGCGCCGTGCACTTCTCCTTCTTGGTCATGCGCCCACAATCCGCGCAGGCGCGAGCAATGAAACGAGCGCTATACGCGGAAACCGACTCCCGCGATATTCTCACAACGTCGAGCACATGGATGAGACGACGGGGGATTCGGAGGTTTCCTGTTCAGACCAAAGAACTCGACGAAAGCCGTCGGCCCCGGAGCTTCCACAAACTCTCCGTCTTCCTCCCGAGCAAAGTTGCTGCCGACCCGTCCTAAGAACAGAACCAGAGCCTCACTTGGCCCCTTCGCCTTGCGACCCCAATCCACGCAATCTGGAGCGCCCCCGAGAATGCGACAATAACTGAGCCCCTTGCGCTGACCCGAAGCAAACGCAGCATCCTGACCAGGAACAGATAAGATCCGAAGCAGATTCCCCCTCCTCAAATTCCCCATCAGAAACGCTAGCCGCAAAGCAAGGCAGAGGTCTGAAGACTCCTTTCCTGGGACTCTGGAGGTCCCTGAACTGGGGCGGCTTCGATCATTCCCGCGCAACTCACGCAATCATGACTCTCGACGCGGTTGTGCTGCAAGCTACACTGTCCGTCGCAATTCCCCCCGTCGCGCGCGCGCGCCCTGCGACGCGCGACGCGAGAAGAGAGAAGAAACGAGAGACACCATAATCCATCCTCATCGACTCCTCCTTGCTCCTAATGGTACGATGAGGGATTGAGGATGATGCAGCAACAGAACTGACGGATGCGAACTCTCGTTCGTCATCGTCCTCGCGCAACTGGACATGGCGCTTGCCGCCATGGGCTTGCTCTTGCATTCGGGGTCCCCGGACCAGAGGCCTGTTTCGTGGCAGGTCTTGCATTTTGAGCGTTTCTTGATCTCCTGGAACCGCTTCTTGCGATCTTCCAGGGAAGGCCCTCCCTTGCCGCCTCCCTTGGGCGACCAGGGCGCGCAGTGGTAACCCTTGCCCCCGCTCTTTCCTTTGCCCTTGCCCCTCCCTTCGGTGCCAAGGTTGGCGACCAGGTCCCCTTGGATCGCGTCAGAAGCTCATTCCTCCGTGTATCCAGCCTTGACCATCTCGTCGACCACCTCGACGTCGAGCTCGCTGCTATCCTGGACAGGAGCCCAATGAGCGCACGATTCCTCGTCGACGCAAGTGCATTCGTCGGCGCAGTCGTCCCGGGCCGCGCGGTCCAAGCCGTGCTCTGGCGCATAGCCGGACGCGTAGTGCCCGTAGGGGCTCGGCACCTCAGGGCAATGCACATCCTGCTCGTACCATGCATCAACAGCAGTGTAGTAAGCGCGTTGCAGCCTGGAGAAGCGCAGCTTGCCCTTGCCCTTGCTCCTGTTCTGGTAGCTGGGTCTGGGCTGCATCCACGTCGAAGAGCTGGAGCTATTGCCAGACTCACCCTTGCCTTTTCGTCAGATGTGTATGCGGCCGTGCTGGAGGACCAAGACGTCTTTGATATTGTCGAAGGTTGTCACGTTTCCTGTGGATGTTAACACCATCGAATTCTCCGAAGGCGAGAGGCCTGCATGGTCCAAGAGCAGGGAACCAAGCATATCGCCGCTCATCAAGATCTTGGGATCTCACTTTGAGACAAGTTTCCACCAGCGCTTCCTCCGGGAGATGTACGAGACCATCGACTCACCGCTCTGCCGAGACAGTGGTCCATATGGTCTCTGCCCCACCTGGAGCAGGATCTTCGCTTCCTGCGCCTCTACGGGGAAGACTGAAGTACGAATCGCCAACACCAGCTGATCAATCCCATTCGGAGTCAGGAGCACGTCATTACCGATATCCATGGCAATATCGAATGCGTCACCTCTGAGGCCTTCTACAACCTTATTGATAGCTGCGGTGATCACGTGTTGCTGTAGTGCACCCGTCTCTTGATCCACTGAGGCCAAGGCGGCACTCATGCGCATCTCTGTGCGGAATTCCCACTCGTGAAAGATGTTCAGCGCGCCGTCGTCGATGTAGGAGCCACTCTTCACATCGGGCCGCGTCAGCGCGTCGGCGCTCGGCCGATAGCGAAGAGAAGAAAGCACCATGGCGCAAGGCTCAGTCCCCCAGCGAGGGAAACTGCCAGTACAGAAAGTGAAGAGAGGTAGTGTGACACTCTCTGACGAGACGTGCGCGCAGTGGTACGATACGGGGATAATGTGGTAGCTCCGCTACACGTGTGATTATGATGCGTTTTAGCACAATGGCAAAAAAAGGCCCCTAAAGGTCAAACGGCAGCGAGTGGCGCATACACACACGTGACACATGCACTATCTCACAACCACTGTCCCAAGAGAGGAATCACTATGAGAGAGGAAGCGAAAGACAGCTGAATTCTTGAGCACACTTCGAACATCTATGGAACGACAGCTCGACTCCAGAGGAAAGTGCGCGGAAGGCCTGAGCGACATGTCTAGGCGACAGCGTGTAAATGGTAAAAAATGGGAACAACTGGGCAAATCGCGAGGGCGTTTCGAACGGAAGCGCGAGTCATTAGAGGATTCGAGTCCCCACGGATCTGTTGGAATCCCTTTGAATCCTGAGGAATGCTTCGGGCTCCGTTGGGATCCTCTGAAGCCCCAAAGAATCCGAAAGACTCCTCTGGAGTTCAGAGAAATCCATAGGAATCCGAATTCGCGGGGGATTCGAAGAAATCCGATGGAATCCGCAGGAATTCACCGGCTCCCCGAGGACCCAAGATATGCTCCAGCATGCCTCCAAGAGGCCCCAAGGCCGCCTCAAGACGGCTCCAAGTGGCCTCGGAGCTGTTCCAGGACGCGCCCGAGAGCCCCGCATCCGTCAAATACGTATGCGGAATCGATGTGCTTGGCCTTCTCGCCTTGTCGCTTCCGATGGGCGTCTGAGGCCTCAAGGTGACTCAAAGATGGCCCAACAGAGTGCAAGAGGGCTCCACGATGGCCTCAAGACCGCCCCAAGAGGAGCCCAAGAGGCGATGTTGAGGGCCCCGCGGGCGGGGGGTAGGGGTATCATGCGCCGTTCCCTTGTTGTTGACGATGGCTTCCAAGTTGGCCCCAGGAGGGCCCCGAATGCACCGAAGAAGACCCCACAGGCCTCCAACATTGCCCCAAGAGGGCCCAAGACTGCAACATCAAGCTGACAAGAGGCTCCCATATCGAAAGATCCGCGAAGGTATGTATGGTTGACTCTTGGGCCTGCTCAGGGTGATCCTGAGCTTCGATTTGACGGCTGCCCCCCATATGTTTCACAGCATGCTCCTACACTTCCTCGATCGAGGCAACTTGTCAGTGCATCGTTTCTGGATGGGCAAGTTGGGAAACGCGAAGCGTAAATAGTCTCATACGTCCAGACCATAGGCGTGAAGAAACCTGGAGCGACCCGCCGTGCCGGCCGCACCGGCATGCGTGGTGACGCGGGGACGAGGAGCTAGTCCCAAATTTATGCTTGCAGCAAAGTGCTGCCGCTTATTATGTAAGGCCGGCCGTTCCTGCGCTCTTGCCCAGAAGTCGCAGCAGGCCGCCGTTGCGCTGCCGCCCTGGGCGTTGGTGCCCTGCGGCCGGTGCCCAGTAGTGACACTGGCCACAGCACCACAACTGGTGCCCTATGGCTTGCACGGGCATGCGTGCACGCTGAGAGTGCTGGAACCCACTGTTTGGGGACCACGTACCTGCGCCGCGTGTAAGGGAAAGGGTGGAGGAAGCGGAGGAAATAAGGCGGGACAGAGGGTATGGGGGGGGGAAGCTCCTCTTCCTCCTCCTCCTCCTCCTCCTCCTCGTCCTCCTCCTTCTCCCCCTCTTCATTCTTCCAACAACGCTGAAAACGAACGTCCGACGTATCCATGCATGCAACGTCGGCGCAAAGAGTGGCAGCAGATAAGAGGCGGGACATAGAGAAGGCACAGAGAGCAAGTAGAGGCTCTTCCTCCTCATTGTCCTCTTCCTCCCCCCCGTGCCACCTGTAGTCCGCTAGGTCCTTCTTGGAGAGCCGCCGCCGCTGCCGTAGCCAGTACCACAACAGGAGCGCGGCCGCGGTAAACACCTCAACGGGCGCACCGCCCGCCAGACCGAGCAGACTGCCCCGACCGCGCGGGTCAGATGCCGAGGCTGCCCTCGGGGCAAGTGATCCCGGAGCTGGGCGTCGCGTCGTCGTCGTCGTCGACGTCGTCGTCGTTCATCCGTATGTAGTAGAACCGCCGCCGCTGCCGCAGCCAGCACCACAACCGAAACGTGGCCGTGGTGAGCACCTTCGCGAGCGCACCGCCGCCGGACCGAGCCGACCCCACCCCAACAAGCCTCACAGCCTCATGATGCCGTGCACGCGGGAGCTGTGCGCAGTCAGCTGAGGGCTCCCCTGAGTCAGGCGTGCGAGGCAGCCTGAGATTATCACGCGGCGCCAAGAAAACAAGAGGCGTGAAACATCGAATCGACTGAAGATTGCGCTTACCCCCAGTAGCCCTGAGAAACCCGCGCTGCGCTGGCAAATCTGGCAAGCCACCTACATCCTTCACCTGCCCCTCCTCCTCCTCCTCCGCCTCCTTCTTCCCCATCACCACCCCTTCCGCCCCTCGTTCTCGCTCTCTTCTGCCTCCTCATCCACCCCCCCGTCCTGCGGCTGCAGGCAGGGTCCTCGTCCTTCCGGTCTGGGGCACGAGAAGTGTGGGCCCCTCTCGCATGCAGTCATCCAGAATGAGCGCCGAACAGGGATAGAGGGACAGACATCACGTATGAACATAAACTGTTAGAGGTCGCTCGGATTTCCTCGGATCGTCGCTGGAACCCACTGCCTGGCGCGCGGAGCGTGCAATGGGCGGCGGCAGGAGGCGCTGAGCGGACCTCCGAAAGTATACGTTCATGCAAATTTCTGGGGAGACGTAAGATTCGGGTCGGGAAACTCGGGTTGGGCTGACGGGGCCATCATGAAAAAAACGAGACCCAGTCTGAACTTTGACGCGAGCTCCCGTTGCAGACATCCCACGAAGCCTGGACCGTCAGAATCTAGGACGCGCTCTTCAAAGAGCGTCGGCAAACCCGAGTTCCGGCGCACTCGAGACAAGTATCCCCGACATTCTGCTCCCCGAAATTTTACGTACTCCCCGAAAGTTTCTCCGAATTTTTGCCCCACGAGTCTCAAGTTTGTCCCAGAAATTCTGCTCCCCGACAGGAGCGAAGGGGGCGTCGCTGGTGACCTCGGCTGGCCCGGGCCGCGAGGGAGACCCCCGAGCTGGACCCGAGGAGCAGCCCGCAGGCCAGAGACCATCCTGGAGCCCGAGTTGGGCCCTCTGCCGGCGCTCTAACCGCAGGGCTGCCTCGAAGCTGAA